CCAACAATAAACCAAGATAAATATTTAAGATCTTTTTAAGCCAAAACATACATGTGCCATACAGAACCAAATGCCATTCATGAGAGGTCAGTCTTCGGTGCAAACCAAATTATCCTTTTTACCCACAAGTTCCCAGCTCCAATGCGGTTATGTTGGCATTTACCCAGAAGGCCTAGGGACTAGAGCAGCCATCTTGGCATTTACCCACAACCCTCTGGGTCACATTTTGGCCAGAACCGCATTTACCTGGGCAAAATAGAGATTCATGAGGGTCAAGGTGAAGAACTGGAGGCAGACAGGGCAGCAATACAGCAGCCAAAAGAAGAAGGGGTGCAAGTGGTTGGCCTTGAGGGTGTTCCTGAAGTAGAAGGAGAAGAGGGTCGTGCGTAGGGCGGCCCAGAAGAGGCAGAGGAAGAGGAAGACTGTCTGGTAGCTGAACTTTTTGTGACGGTACAGGAGCACCAGCCAGAGCTGGGCGTAGACCGAGAAGAAAAGCAATGCGTACAGGGCCGTGTAGAGCGTCGTCAGGCCCACCTTGACGGCGGGCGGGAAGGCCGGTGTGAGCCGTGAGGCCGGCACGATGGAGCTGAGGTTGCCCACGGCCTTCTCCATCTTTGCCCGGCTAGGAGGCCGTCATCTCCCAGAACGCAGGGAGAGGGGGGTTGCGCCCCCACTGCAGCCCCCTCTCTTGGCCAGAGCAGCTGCCCCCGCAGGAAGGGGGGGTTACATCCTTTGGGGCAGTGGGGGGCTGGCCCCTCCAGCGGCAGAATCAAAGCACGCCTGCCCGTTCCATGAGCGATCCTGGCGGGGAGACGGGCAAGGGGCAGCCAAGGGTCAGGGGTCTTCCTCTCCGGACCCCCTCGCAGGGCGTGGACAAGGGGAGAGCCCCCTTCTGTTCCAGCACGGAGCCCGTCCAGGATCTACAAGAGAAAGACACAAGACATTGGGGAGCTTCTTTCAAGCTGGGGCCCCGAGTTCCCTGCTGCCCCACCTTTACCCCGAGGACCCTCGGGTCCTC